CTCGGCGTTTTCGATCGCGGACCCCTCCGAAACGATAAATCGTGCTTTACGCGACGTAATCCACTTCGATGCGACTGCACCCCTGTGCGCGTGCAATCGTGCTTCCCCCTTTTTTTTTTTAACAGCCGCGAAGGGTCGGCGGCGGCATTCGTGCGCACCTCATCGTCGGGCAAGCAAGACTCCAGTCGCCGCCGCGCCGTCTTTCCGACGAAGCGATTAATCCAGGAATCGATCGTCGGTTTTCTTAGGTCGAGCCCGCCGACCCGTATCGCGTTAAGACTGCAGCCGCATATTTCGATGTATGCGCTGCGCTGCTCGCGTATAGATATTTCGGCGGTTGTGTATCTTAGAAGAGCAAGCGAGTAATTACGCTAACGAAGTCCGATCGTGCTATCGTCCATTATTATTACGGTAGTCGAACCTTTTCATTCGTGGATCTTATCCACTTCGTTGGTAAACGCGATATGCAGACCCATCGAGGTCTTAATTATGAAGTATTATTAGAGAATTCAATTTCTTCGTTACGTGAGAGACGTATCGATTAAAGATTTTGAAGTATTCTATCTAAAATTCTAGCGACGAAAAACGAACGAAAGAACGGAACAAAATCAAGGGTAAATATATTCAGATATATGATTGCTTTAATTAATAACTGCACGTTTGGATCTTCGAAAATGTACAGTCACGTTTTGCGTTATCAAAGAAATAATTAAATAAGTATATAGATCCCCGTCATTCTGCGATGCACAACTCAATCGAAAAATAACGATAATCCAACGGCAAATTACTGAGCTCGCACACGAGGCAATTCTTAAGGCAGTTCTCTGCGAAGAACGTTTCTACATGTACAAAGGGGAAAAAAGGGGAGGTCGGACAAAAACAATTCTCGATTAGTCAGATCTGTCCGCAGTCTATGAATTTCACTCGCAGAATAACGAGACAGCAGTAATTTATCATCTCTTGACTACATTGATCTCTCTTGACTTTTGTCGCTGTATCAGCAACAGGAGAGAGAGAAAGAGTGAGTGAGTGAGAGAGAGAGAGAGAGAGGAGAGGGGGCACAAAGCCTCTCAACATTCTCCACTCTTTAATTGCTTCCGCTTTCTTGCCAATTATTTTCTGTTTATTTTTCCATTTTACACAGTTTACATTCGGTTTTTATGATCAGCTCGTTAAGGAAAGAATCGTCGATTATACTCGCATCGTATCATCTTAATCTGGCAATATTTTTCAGATAACAGCTGCCTGTTATCATATAGAGCGTGTATACGTGATGTTACCTGTCTAAATAAACTCTTGTAGAGATCGACCTGGCGAACGTATTAATGACCTATTATACTACTAATAAGCTCATTATTAACGCTCGAAGGACTCGCGTACGAAATGGAGCGCGACGCTAAAGATACGCCGACATAACGCATGTCCACAGTTACTAATTAAACCGTACGCCTCTTTAGCGGTTCTTTCGGCGTGCAAAGTATAATATCCGTTTCCCCGCGCCCCGCGCACCCGATACCCGATACCTACCCGATCGACAGGAAAACGAAATTTCTCTCGGCACGCGTTGAAATGTAGTGTCGTACCGGGAACCCCACACGCCACACGCACCCCGGGAAAACTCGGTGTCGGCGAAATGTTGCGTGCTCGGAATTTTCGTTCCAGGCCGTGTATTCCGGGCTAATAAAACGGGAATAAGGATTCGAAAAATCCACATCTCCGAGAGATTAATTCGGGATATCGAGAATCCCTCGGCGCCTACGGTCGGAGAATATTGCGAAAAATTCGCGGAAACGATAGTTTCGCCGTTCGTGTCTAATCGTGAGAATGCGAGAACGGCTGTCGCAGTTGCGCTCGTTATTGACGTTTCGCAAAATAAAATTGCGCGCGCGCGCGCGCATCTGGGTCTGACGTTTTGCGAAAGACCGTCGCACCACCGGGCTCGTTGCAACGCGGTCGTTAGTCCGCGACAAATTTTGCGTACCCTCCGAGGACGCTGCGCCGCGCCGCATCGATTTCCTTCCACGCTGAATTATCGTCTAAGAGGGAAACGAGCAGCGGATCCGCTCCGAACAAACGGTCCGCACGGAAATGTGGGGCAGGACATTAAATGACACGCGTGAGAGAGAAAGAGAACTGGAAAGATGGAAGAGGAGGAGGACAAGGATACGTATGCACGTATCCTGGAATCCTGATGGAGGACGAACCGATGCGGCGCACATATTGCGCGGAGATAAGTGTCGCCGGATTGTAACGACCCTTGATCGCGGTTAATTGCTCTTTCCTCATTTTGCGCGGAAACTAACGCGCGCGATGTGCGTTCAACAAGTGATGAGAACTGAGAGCCAAAATTTATATTAATATCTCATCGACATTTATTGTATATTAAGAAAAAGGAAGATGTATATTCTTAATCATATACATAGGTATACTATATATCACAAACATTTTTTAAAGACTAAACGTTGTACAGCCCCCCGAGCTTCAAATTTTGAACTAAATTTATTATTAAAATAAAAGAATTTATTGTTAAAAAAAATTTGTGAAGCAAGATAAAAAAGTAATGGCGAGTTAGATATAAGAAAAATTTATTATTAATTAGCTGAAATATTGTAAATCCGTAGACTTTTTCTTTATGAATGTTCATTAAAAGCTTTATAAATTAAAATTTGGTCAGCAAATTTATTACTTCTTAAAATTTTTACTTTTATGGATTATATTTTGACTAATTAGGAACAGACTTTTTTTTACAAATTGAATCGTCAGTAAGCTTTTTTATGACAAATTTAACAAGAATATACACTTTCTCTCAATGTAGAATCCTATCGTGTCTATATAACATTTATTTGAATACATCTAGAAGTGCTAATTTATATATACCTGTATAGAATTATTTTAAATATTTAAGACACGGAGAAAGTATAAAAAGGTTCGAGCAGACTGTTGTTAAAAATAAAAGTGCGCATAAATTTTCTTTCTCTTAATTGGCCTTCGCGCCTACATCCACCAAGATTTGCAACTGCAAGGCTTTTTGCCGACGACTCTCGTTCCAGTTGCCTTTCGGCTAATGCTGCTGGTTTTGCTCGATAACTTCTGCACGCCGCTGCCTCGCTACCATCCGTAGTAGCTTCTTGCACCCTCTCGTTACTTGCGTATTATATTAGGAGTAATTATTTTATTGAGTTTCGGCAAGTTTGAGCGTAACACCGCCGCAACGCCGTAGTTAACGCTTTAATCGTCGTGCTACTCCTTTCACGGAACTGATTTCTACTACGTAATAAATTATCTCGTCGTACTTAAGACATCGATATTATAAAAATTACGATGGTGAAAGCGGTATTCTTATGTAACAAATATAAAAAAAATTTATAAATTAATAAGCATACGTACAAAAAAGGGAAACGAATACATTTGAATCAATAATATTAAAAATCGTTTATTCTAAAATAACATTTTATTTAAAAAAATGCGCAAGAATGAATGTTATCGTTTCCCGCGTAGTCTTTTGGGTGCGGAATATGATCCCGTTTATTAAATTGTTCTATCTGTTTCCACCATATTGATTCTGCCAGTTTGAATTCATCAACTTTGACGTCAGATTAGTATTCAGCGATCTAAAAAACCCTTAAGTTTGAATAATATAATTAAAAAATATTTGGTAAAATGTTTTGGTAGAATATTTAGTCTTTAATGGCATATATCGCAACTTTGATGCAAAACCTACATTAATCACAAACATCTTTTTAATAATCATACAATAAATTTCTTTTAAAATGGCTAAAAATCTTAACACTTAATTTTAATACTTAATTTTTATAGTCATGAAACTTCCCCAACACGTCACCTATTGTAATTAATACTCGTAATCAAAATATTTTAAAATAGCCCTCTTTTCACAACTTTAACCGCAAATTTCTCAAAATTATGATGGCAATTAAGAATCATATCTAACGTCCAAAAAACAATGGAAAATACCTTCGATTCTTGTATTCGAAAAAAGTCATTCATCAATTTTGTTAAACAATGTAATTGAAGAAATAAATCTTTTTGAATCGCCAATCTTCATTCGCCTCTCTGCCGACATTAAAATATTATTTATCTGCGATTAAAGATTAACATCAAAATATATCGTTTATTTTTTACAACAATAACAACTGAAAGATTGACATTTTTTATTTGTTTGAAAAAGAATACTTTGAATTTAATATACACCGAATGAAGAGAGAATTGATGTTACATATAGTTAAATACTTTTATTTTTTTACAATCAGTTATTACACTAAAATCGCATTAAAAAATGATATTACAAAACTTTAATAATTTAAAATATTCAAATTTTCTGGAAAACTTTATTTTTTAAGTTATGTCATTGCTGCAGCAAATAATTATAATATGTTACACTGGGAGGTAAAAATAAGTGCGCTATGAAGAAATTATAAATCTTCGCGCGCGATAAACCTGTTTAATCCAGGAATGGACGCCTGGGGTGAATTTTACACCCCAGTATCGAAAAAATGAAGCTCACGTCACAGTAATTTTATGTACTTTTTTCGTTTTTTAAATATTTTTTTATTTCTCCTTTAATTTTTCAGAAAATGTTGAATAAAATCTATATAGAGATACATATATTGTCCTTAAACACTATAATAAATTATAAAACAATTAAAAGATGTGGAATATATAATTAATAACAGTGACTTTTAATTAGACTGTGAAAATCACCCCAGATGACCATTTTGCAAAGAAATCAGACGCCCGTTCCCGGGTTAACATGATCAGATACAAAGCGAAAAGTATTTGAAAGGTTACAATGTATCAATACGCAGAGATTATACATAAATAAGGGCAAAAGGTGTCGGGAGTCAGGGACGGCCGTCTCGGTTGAGCGCCACTGAGGTCTCGCCGACTTCCCCTCCCACTTATCGCCCAGCGCCCGCTCGCCCCACTGCCCACTGCCTGGCGCGTCTCGCTGGTACTACTGACTGGCCAGTCGGTGGCGGGCGCTCGCAGCGTACGTGTCGTGTATCGCGGCTCGGAGCGTTCTACTCCCCTTTACCCCTCGTCACCTATCTCTTTTCTCTTTCTCTCTCCCTCTCGCATCGCGTACGTCGTATCGCGCATTCGTATTACGCGACGGCAGTGATTCTACGTGCTTGACGCGACGCGACGCGACGCGCCGCGTCGGCACGTGCCGGCGTCGGAGGATCGGCGGCGGCGGCGACCGGAGAAGATCCGGGAGGGACGAATTTTGAATTTCGGAGCCAGACGTCCGGCCGGTCGGCGTGCTCCGCTCTCGGGCATCGGTGCGTTTGTTTTGACATGTGTGTAGGCTGCCATATTGGATTACCGCATCGCTGCCGTTGTTGCTGCTGCTGTTGCCGTCGTCGTCGTCGTCGTTATCATCGTCATCACCCTTGCCGCGGGGCACCTAGGCGCGAGACGTGATTTTCGCGCTAAAAAAAAGGTGAGAGAAAGAAAGAGAGAGAGAGAGAGAGAGAGAAGGAACGGCGGGCACGCGCGCGCGCGAGCAAGCGCGACGCCGGCGCGACGACGCGCCGAGGCGTCGTCCTCCGTGCAAGCGCACGAATGAAAGCGCGGCGTTTTCGGGCCCGCTCAATAACGAGAGCGTCGTCGTCGCCGTCGCCGTCGTCGCCGCGCGTTTTTCAGCGCGTTCCCCCGCGTCAATCCCGTTCGGCATTTCGAAATCGCGCTCGTATACGTTCCTTCTCTTCTCTTCGGATTGCGAGACGGAGCGGAGCAGAGCGGAGCCGAGCGGAACAGAGCGGAGCGGCGAAATTCTTCGATCGCGCGACACGTCTCGCTCCGCTCGCGACTGCAACCCGCGCCAGCTGCTCCTAATAACTAATAACCCTCCTGATTTTTGCGTGTCAGATAGATTAATTTATTATACGCTCCGAAATGGCCCCGCGAACGCGAGAGCAAGGAATCAAATACGCGAACAGTAAGACAAAGCTGTGATAAAATTGTAGAATGCGTAAGCACAGCTGGAGAGCCATATACGGAAAGTAGATTTTGCTAACGTATATAGAAATTAAGTCAGATACAGATCTGAAAATAATTATGATAGATAGATGGGTATTTATTTCGTACCTTTCGGCCTTCAAAGGGTTTACAATTTCAACAATACGATATGTTATTTACCGATAACGTACGTATTATGAGTTCAACGGAAGATATTATTTTATTATTTAAACGCGTCTAAACTTTAACTAACATAATTTCTTGTGCGAATCAAGAATTTTTGATGTCGAATCGAATTGAATCAAATTTCATTTTGTCTTTCGAATTCGAATCGAAGAGAATCGAACCGTAGAAATGTAATTTTTAATTAATAATATAATTAGTATTAGATTAAATTTTAACACGTAGATATTGGAAGACTATTTTAATGTGGAAAAATAACATTAATTATGTAATATAAATTCTTTTTAAAGCAAAAAACGTATTTAAATATATAATATAAAATTAATAAATCATTCTTTATTTAGTGCAGTAACTGAAATTAGACAATTAGACGAAAAATCATAGATTATTAAAATTATTAAAATATTTTAATGTAATATCTAATTATCTATCTATAATTATCTATAATTATCTATAATTTCGAATTATATAAATTCGAATTCGAATCGATTCGAATCTCACCCGATTCTATTTGATATTTAAATAGTTTGCACATTTTTAATTAATTTCTTAATTACGTTCTCTATTACTACATTAAGAGAAAAAAATACACAATTTCATTATAATTTTTAGTTATTTTCGGTGTCTACTACATTCTCATAGTTATTATAACAATGCGAATTATAACTGACTCAATATTGCATTATTGTTGTCAGGGCTTTAACATGCGCATTTATTCACATGGTTTTATAACTTTTAATTTAATGGTTATATGTAAATCATGCTAGGTAAATATGATGAAAATGACCATCATAATTGGAAGATCTATGCATATAAGGTTATTTTTATTAATATTATAGCGCAACAATAACTATAAAGATAAGAACGCCAACCATAATTATTTTACTATAAAATTATAATATAGTCGCAAATGCCAAACACTTTTCTCTCAGTGCAAGCTAGCTTCTTTCTGTAAACCTAATGCTATTATTTCTATGCTAGAGAGATGCTTTAACTTTCTTTGATTCTATTCTCTTTCCTTATTTTATTCTCCCTTCTCCATCAGTAATTGCGGCATTCCCATGTTCCTTCTTACCTCCGCAATACAACTCGTTGCAAGGTGTTTTAAAGTCTCAGCTTCTCTCTGACATGTATCCTACTAAGATTTCTCTCTTGTCCTTGCTGAAATTTACTGCCAAGTTCTTCATTCCCACATCTAAATCTCACGATAAATTTTTGTCTTTCCTTTTCTTAAATATTCCAGGATCCCAATTAAACAGAGTTCCTTTCTTCTGAAAGTAATTGTGCTGAATCATCAAAATAATTATGTAATTATGCACTTTAGCGAAACTATTCTTTCTCTTTATGACTAAAGAAATAAGTTATTTACATGGCAACAGATGACTCAGGCGCCGAATGGTAATCATAAAATTTGGTTTTAAAAGCGTTCGGAGAAGTTGAGTCATGCAAATGAACAGATAAGATATTTTGCAGGTAAATAGACATTTCAACGTCGAGCGCGATCCTCAAATTGTTCGTCTTGGAAGTAGTAGTCCAATCGCGAACATTAATATCGCGCGAGTATTTGCATTGTTTTCAAAATTAGAATCATTTTCCGCGACATAATTATACTGTCTCTTTTTAAAACGCTCCTTTTTCAGAATGAGATGCAAAAATTGGGCTTCTCAATTAAGTTGAATGCCTCGTCTCGCGCTTCAGTTTGGAAGATAACGTCGCGAGACGAAGGCAGCCGGTGTCGAAAATGGGGTGATTAGAATTTTTGCGAAATAATGCCAAGTTTTTTGGATTAAGATTTTAACTGCACGGTGAGAATACGAAATGCTGAAGTGTGTTTTGACCTTAACCTGTTCGTTTTGGAAGTAATTCAATTTCGAACGTTAATATCGCGAATATTTGCAATTGTTTTCAAAATTGGAGTTGTTCACATCGTTTTTAGCGACGTAAGCATGCTGTCTCGAAACGTTTCTCTTCCAGAATAAAATGCAAAGATTAGTAGATATAGATATCGATAAATGCGAGGTTCGAATTAGGATGTCTGTACGGCGAGAATGCCGGAGTGCCGAAGTGGTTACCTCTGTGAAGTTTGCACCCCATCTTTCAAAAAATCAATTTTTTCATCAAGTTCTGAATGCACCCCGAACAGTTCTAGAGTTCGAAGTGTCCGAAACTCCGTAAGGTACACGTTCCCCGATTATCGAACTCGGATGTGATTTGGTCCCGCGCGGCGGGGTCGAATACAGAAGCGCGCTGTCAACGATCGCTCGATACTATACTTTCCCCTCGCAGACGTCGCGCCACGCGCGAAACGCCGAACAACAGTTTGTTCGTGACGTGTTTCGGACATTATACGTAATATATACGTCACGCTGGCTTATCGTTTACGATCCGTGCCTTGACGAAAAGCGATCCCCGTATATACTCGTTCTCGATACGAATCTCGAAATGAACGCGTTCCATTAACCGCCTCTATTTAGAAAATATAATGTGCCGCCGTGGAAACACCCTATCGCGATTTCACATCAAACTACCCTCTTTAATCCGATTAACCGTGAAAATTTATGGATTATATCGTGATAAATATTCAACAAAATCCAACAGTTTTCTTGAATACGTGACAGACGGAAGAAATCAGTGCACGCAGACAAATTACATGTACTACCTGCAAGTAAATATTACTTATTTTAAGTATTTAATAGGTTTATATATCCGAAATCTATCATAAAGTTAGCATAAAGTATCACATATACTTAAAACATATTCTGGATCTTAGAAAACATATTTTTTTTAATACTTCAAACAAGAATCACATATAGATACTCAAAACATATTCTGGATCTTAGAAAGTATTTTTTATTAATACTTCAAACAAGAATATTTATATAATTAATACAAAAATTCGGTCTGTTTATTATATAGAGTCTACAGAAGAGAAGCATATACTTCAATAAAGATATCACTATTTTTTATAGAAAAGTTTATCCGCTATTTTTTTTTAATCAAGTATAATATTTCTTCACCTAGAATAATCTGCTAACTTCCAAAAAGAGATTATATTCTTGATGATGATGACGATGATTGATTCCTTTAATTCCTAAATGGAACATAGGGTTTCTCAGGAGGTTTCAGTAATCTCGTGTAACAGTATAGGCATAGAATATTAAAATTCCTGTGATCAGGTGCATTGAACCTGCGTGGTTCTTCGTGCAGGTTATTACGAGTCTGGCACTTTACTCCACTAGACCACACCTCTGATTATATTCTTAGTGTTGCATATTCTTAGTTTTCAGAAGAAGTAATTCATTGATTTCAAGTATTTCATATTCTTATTCTTACCTAAAGAATCATAGTAAACTAGTCTATGAAAATAAAAATAATTACTTGTTCCGAGATAACATTGTTTCTAGAAAGAATATATTTATTTGAATCGAGAACATGGATTTACTTGAAGCAAGAAAAATTTTCATTTTTCTAAACTATATTTCGTTTTCTGATTCTTTTGCATATAGAAATTCTTTTTCTATTTATAATAAATATTCTTACGTTAATGTATCTTCAAATATTCAAATTAATTCTATATAGCTTTTCTTCGGTAAAGTTTCATAATATTCTTGAAACAAAAATAAATTCTTTTGCAATGAGCACAATATGATGAGCTTTTCTAAGACTTGTGACAAGTCTTCGTACATCTGAAAACTATTATTAAGAAAATATTCTTTGTTGAAGAAAACCATTACTTAAAACAAATCAAATCAAATAAGTTTGCTTTTCTTGGCTGTAGAATATTTTTCTGTATGTGCTTTTATATTTTTCGCAAAATTACTACAGATGTATGAATGAAACATTTTCGCAATTTATTTCTAAAATTCAGATAACTTGTTGACATATTATTTTATTTTACAAACCCCTGGCTCGTCGTTTCACGCGACGAAAGCTTGGTCAAGTTCATGCAGTAATTTCAGACGAATCTAATCTCAGTATAGGTCGGTGTATCGAACATAGTTCCAGGCGATGCGTCAAGGTTCAATGCTGCTATTTTTGATGATTACGAGAAGTAAACGTTCTCTTCCGCAGCGGTGGCGACTGAAATTGATTTCGATACGAGAGAAAGAGAAAGAGAAGAGAGAGGAAAAGAGAGAGTAATCCTTGCGCAGTCTCAGCTTACATAACGCAATTACCTCGGTGATCCGTAATGACGAGACATGAATCACACCTCTCGTTCGCGCTCAGAGTGTTCAGACAACACGGTCGCGCGCGACGCACGTACCTCTATACCGGCGGATGTTGACGACGCTCGGCGCG